ACATGCTGTTGATATATATATATATATATATAGCTTCATATGCCCTATAAATATACCAGCTATTTCATTTATTGGGAAAATACTCACTTTGTATTGAAATAATATTTTAATTAACATCATATTTAAATTGATGATTGATGCATTATATCTTAAACATGCATGGCACTAGATGAACAAGAAGTGGGAAAAAGGGAGGGATAATAAAACTTCAATTCTTCCTTCCAGTCTTTAAATCAAGCTTTGCTTACCATCTCATCCCAGGATGGATCCCTTTTTTCCTTCTATAAGTTCCCTATCTATCCCTATTCATTATTTTCATCACATGTTTTCTTGGGAATTGGAAGTGCTTATGATGTCAGCAGGTATTGAATCCAAAGACATTCTCTTTTGGTCTGGAAGGATATGACAAGTTTGGAGGAATTAATCATAGCATCTTATTTGCCTATTCATTCAGGAATGCAACATTTTTCTTATAATTTGCTTGTATCTAAGAATGATTTGTTCTGAAAGCTTCAGACTTGCATCTTAAGCAACTCAAGATAATTAGTATAGATTATTATTTATGCTTTGCTTGGAAAAAAAACATCACTCTATATGTAAAATGGATTGGTGGAACACAGATACTTGTAATGGAGTAAACACTTTACATTTTCCCATAAATAATTATCATTATTATTGAACTGCCTTTGAATTTTGATTTTCTATAGGAACATAATGAGTCTAACCAAGTCAGCATTCCACGGCAAGTTTGCCGGTGTGCGCACACGGATTATGAAGAAAAATTATGAAACGATCCCACAATGGTCGTTCCATGTTCTCCTGATCCGCATGTTTGGTCTGGCCAAAATCCATGTTCATCGTCCGGGTTGAGATTCTTGCCCCTCAAATGACATTTGAACTCCTCATCTTCCCATTCATGTTTTGATTTAATTGAATATTACTACTGTATTTTTTATATATAAAAAAGTGATTTTTATCCTCCCTTGCATTGAATGAATTTCTTTGCAAGTATGGTATCCATGATAGCAAAGTCATGGTAAAGTTTCCTGCACAATATAAGATTTTATATGTCATAATGTTAAAAAAAACAAAGCAGATAAATCATCATCAAATGAGCCATGAGCAGAAGGCAAATGGTTTCCATGTCTCCTCCATTATTTCACAACCATGAGCAAAAGGTGATATTTTTTCCTTAAATTAGAATGATAATGATAGCCTTCTCTCTCTCTCTCTACACACACAAAGATGAACTATTTCTTCCTCATTAGATTCCTCTCAGAATGTTTGGCTTGGCTCAACATCTACTCAAAGATGAACTATTTCTTCCTCATTAGATTCCTCTCAGAATGTTTGGCTTGGCTCAACATCTACTCAAAGATGAACTATTTCTTCCTCATTGTGTTTTGTTCAAGTTTAGTTCAAAGTTGAGTTTGATTCTTGTTCGTTTCATATTGATGATAATCGAGTTATTATCAAGCAGAGTAATGAGTACATTATCGAGGTACTCAATTTCCATCCAAATAAAATTTATTGAACAACTTAAAAATAGTATTATCATGTTATTTATTTTCTCACTAAATAAGGCTTATGGAGCAAGATGATTAGTGTGGTTGAGCTATATATTTCTTAATCAAATGAGTTTTATCAAGCTTATAAATGAGGTGTTGAACTTACAAAAAAAAATTTAAATGAGTTTTTAAATGAATAACTAAAATAAGTATAAAATACATTAATTAAATGAACAACTTAACAAATAAGCTTTTATGTTGTTTTATGGATTATAAATTAAAATATAATTTCATTTAATATAAATGAATTTTAAATTAAGCTTTAATTGTGCTTATTTAATAACTTAGGTTAAGCTTTAATTGAATTTATTCATAAGCATTAAATCAATCTTATTTATGAACTTTAAATGAAACTATTTATCAATCTTCTTAACAAGCTTGTTTGCAAGCTTTAAATGATGTTCATTGGCATTGATTCTGATGTCACACATTTGAGACGGTCATTCGAACCTATGGGATTATGTTTTGTTCATGTGTGGTATCCCATAGTCGAAAGACATCTATCAAGACCCCTTGATAAGTGTCTAGGGCACCAAGGTGGGGATTTGCCCGGGCGCACCCGTGCTCTGGCCGTGGCACACCTGTGCCTGGTCATTCGAACCTATGGGATTATGTTTTATTCATGTGTGGTATCCCATAGTCGAAAGATGTCTATCAAGACCCTTTGATACGTGTCTAGGGCACCAAGGTGGGGATTTGCCCGAGCGCACCCGTGCTCTGGCCGTGGCACACCTGTGCCTGCCTTGTGTCTCACGTTTTCGTGCCAGGAGGTCGACATACCCTCGCCTGCGCATTATATGATTTACATGTATAATATGATGTATACTTTCTTGTATTTTGAGATATAAAATAGAGCATTAAATTTTGAAACTAAGAAGGTAATATGTGAAATATTTTTATATGAACTATTTTTTAATATGCAAATAATGGGGACTATTTTAACACTTCACTCTTAAATAATTCTAATTTTTCAAACCCGCTCTCCATCTCCGACAATGCCCACTTCACAAGATGAACTTTCACCGCCGTCTCCTCTCCTGCAACTCGCTCCGCTCATCTCGCATTCTCCACGCTCTTCTCCTCATCTCCGGCCAGTCAGCCGACATTCTTCTCTCCACCGATCTCCTCAACCTCTACTCTCGTCTCGGCGACATCTCCGCCGCCGTTCTCACCTTCAACGCAGTACCCAAACACAACATCTTCTCCTATAACTCCATGATCTCCTCCTTCGTCCGCCATGGCTTCCTCGCCGAAGCTTTTCTCTGCTTCCACCGCCTCCTCTCCCTCCCCGCTCTTCGCCCCGATTCCTTCACTTTCCCCGTCGCCCTTAAATCCTGCAGATCCTTAGAAGATGTCAAAAAGATGCATTCTTTGATAAAAAGAATGGGTTTTGATACCGATGTGTTCGTCTCCTCTTCTTTGATCGGTGAATATTCAAAGTTTGGGTCGGTGGATCATGCAGAGAAGGTGTTTGATGAAATGCCGCTTAGAGATTCAGGTTGCTGGAATGCTATCTTGTCTGTGCTCTGCCAGAATGGGAGGGAAGATGATGCAGTTGAAGTTCTTAACCAGATGATAAAAGAGGGAGCTTTTATGGATAAAGTTACTGTTTCAACCATTCTTCCTCTTTCTGCTTCACTCAATGACTTGCTAATGGGTATGGCTCTGCATATTTATAGCATAAAGCATGGTTTGGATTCTGATATTTTTGTGTCAAATGCTTTGATTGATATGTATAGCAAGCTTAATTGTCTGAATTACGCACGTCATGTATTCGATTCAATGGATTGCAGAGATTTGGTTACTTGGAACACCATGATCGCCGCCTACGAACAATCCGGCGATTCAACCGCTGCGTTCGAGTTCTTCGATTTGATGAAGAACCAAAAACTTAATCCTGATGTTCTGACAGTGGTTAGTCTTGCTTCCGCAGTCGCTCAGATCCGACACGAACTGAATTGCCGCTCAATTCATGGTTTTTTCGTGCGCAGAGGATGGGATGAGGATGACATATTTGTCGGCAATGCGATTATCGACATGTATGGGAAGATGAACAAAATTGAATCTTCACAAGTTATGTTTGATCAAATGCGCACAAGAGATGTGATCTCATGGAACACTTTGATTGCGAGTTATTCGCAGAATGGATTTGCCAATGAGGCCATTGAGCTCTATGAATGCATGGGAAGGGAGGAAGAAGAACTGAAACCAGTTCAAGGAACATTTGCAGGCGTACTCCCTGCCTGCTCGCATGTCGGAGCTCTACGAAAAGGGATGAAGATTCATGGGGACACCATCAAACAATGTCTGAATTCCGACTTGTTCGTTGCCACGTGTCTAGTCGACATGTATGCGAAATGTGGTAGCTTGGCCGATGCGGCAGCGCTGTTCGCCATGATGCCGAGAACAACCAGCTCCGGTCCTTGGAACGCCATGATTGCCGGGCACGGGTCGCACGGGGAAGGCAAGAGGGCATTGGAGCTGTTTTCAGAGATGGAGAAGGAAGGAGTTAGACCAGACCATGTCACCTTCGTTTCACTGCTCTCAGCTTGCAGCCATGGAGGACTAGTTCAGGAGGGACGAGAATGCTTTCAGTTGATGAAGTTGAGGTATGGAATTGAGCCAATGGTGAAGCATTATGCATGTATGGTGGATTTGTTAGGCAGAGCTGGGTTTCTGAATGAAGCCTATAAACTGATAGAGAAGATGCCATTAAAGCCTGATGGAGGAGTTTGGGGAGCACTTCTGGCTGCCTGTAGGATCCATGGAGATGTTGAATTAGGGAGATTGGCATCAAAATGGCTCTTTGAATTCGATTCCGAGAACGTCGGCTACTACGTGTTGCTATCTAATTTATACGCGAGGAACGGGGAATGGCAGGGAGTTGATCGAATTCGATCTCTGGTAGAAGAAAGGGGTCTGTGGAAGACACCAGGGTGGAGCTCCATTGAAGTGGATAATAAAGTTAGCATTTTTTTTACAGGGGATCGGTCTCATGCTCGGTATGGAGAGATTTACAGAGAGTTGGTGAGGTTAATGGAGAAGATGAAGCAGATTGGTTATGTTCCAGATTACAGTTTTGTGTTGCAGGATGTGGAAGATGATGAGAAGGAGAGTATTTTAAGCTCTCATAGTGAGAGATTGGCTATGGTTTTTGGAATCATAAGCACAGAGAAGGGGAGCAGGATTTATATTTTTAAGAATTTGAGAGTCTGTGGAGATTGTCATAATGCCACGAAGTATATTTCGAGGATTACAGAGAGAGAGATTGTTGTGAGAGATTCAAATCGGTTTCATCATTTTAAGGGAGGGATTTGTTCATGTGGAGATTATTGGTGATTCGAAGGCGGTGCTTGGCTGCATCTTAGATTCCTATACATCCGGAACGGAAGAAATTGCGAGCGATTGCGGCATAAATCCGTCTAGCAATCAACAAATTCACGTCCTAAAGACGACGGAACGAGAGAAGTGAAAGAAGGAACGCGTGAAAATTGTAGTATGCTACCAAACACCGCCTTAGTATTTATGTCGCAAGAAGCTTTTCTTTTAAGTTCTGTAATGGTGGCAAAGGTGAGAAGATGAAGAAGAGGAGATTGGTGATGAAGTTATACAGAGCTTCAGAGGGTTCAGTGGTGAACATGGCTAATATTGCCTAATGGTTATTATTTTGGGAAATTTACATACATATCACACAATTTTTGTGTATTTATATATTTCATATCTAAACTCTCATATTTACATATGTAATATTTTGGTGTTTTAAAAAATGTGCATTTTATGTTTAAAAAGTGGCAAATGTACTATTTTTTAATGTGATGGTAAAAATTTGACTTGTATGTGTCTAAATATGAAAGCTTAGGTGTGAAATATATAAATACATAAAAAATGTGTGCTATGTATGTAAATGCATAGATTATTTTATATGAATTTTTTTATTAATTATCTTTATTACTCATAGATTATTTATGGGGATATCTTTCTGTGGTTACATTGCTAATGCCTAAATGCTAATTTTTTACATTTATGCCCCTCAAATCTTTCATATTACATGAAAAATATGACTTTTTTAACTGAAGAAGTGAAAATATTGAAGTTTAGGGGTTGTATATATGAGTGTATACATGTAAATCTTTCTCTCATATATATATATATATATATATATATATATATATATATACATATACATATATATATATATATATATACATATACATATATATATATATGTTCGCTTATAATTTGAAGTCTCGTTGTTAGGAGAAAATATTACATCAGGTAATCAAACATGCAGTTGATGAAATTTTTTTCTCTACGTATATCGCACGCAGAGCTGCGTACGGTAAACCAATTAAAATCATCCCTACATGGCTACATCTAAGTAGCCCCACTTTTAATTAAAAAAAAAAAATTAACACGTGATTGGAGCCCGTACGCAGCTCTATGTACGGGCTCTGTACGTAACTTTTTCTCACAATTGACGACATAGATCGCATTATGCTGCTGAACAAACAGAATGGTGTGTTTCACATTGTCGTCCGAACGAATGGCGTATGTAATATTTTCTTCATTATTAGAACTACATTGCGCTCATTAGCTCTTATATGAGGCTGCATTATTTTGTTTTTCATTATGTTGACTAGAGCCGGACTTGTTCACATTGAAATTTGAAAAAAAATTTTAAGGACATTTACATACACGTCACTCATCTTCAACATCATGTCAAAATACTGCTATCACTAGCTTTTTAAAAGCGATACCCTTTTTCATGCATGATACCCTTTTTCATGCATCATTTTATAAATGAAAATATCAAATTTTAGATGTTAGATAAGAACATAAGAATTGTATAGTATGTATGTAAATTCTTCCTTTTTTTTTTTTTTTATTATGCCGTCGCAAGTCATTTTATCACATACGAGTTGTGAGAACCTCAAAAAAATTCTTTATTTTTATATTATAATTTCCATTATATTGAAGTTGTTTACGATCGATCTAGTTCAAACGTCATATAATTCTTAATCATACTATGGCCTCATTCGTAATATTATTTTTATTTTCTTAGAATTATATTTTCGCTCTACACACAAACACACACGTGCATAATTAGGATTACAAATGTACTAAACATTTGACGAGCTATTTGTGACTCAGCTCGATTAAAACTCGTTCATAGTCATTTGATTAATTATTTTTAAGCTCAGTAAGCATTTTTTGTTATGGCTCATTTATTTTACCAAACAAGCTGATTGATTAAAACTCGATCAAGATTTGATTATTGCACGTTTATTTTGTTCCGTGAGTTACTCATCAATTAGCTCAATAATCACTACATGAACCAATCTCAAATATATCTCAAGCTAGGAACATGAGCTCGGATCGAGCTATGGTCGTGCTCGAACAAGCTCTTAATAAAACAGTTCGAGGTCGGACAAACGCCTAGCCCAACTTAATTCATTTGTAGCCCTATGCACTGTCATGTCAAGCTGTGGAGTAATTTTTATCTTCAAAAGAAAGATTATTGGCCGGTATATATATATATATATATATATATATACCTAGATATATAAATCCATCAATTTGGAAAATGGGTATAGGAAAGAATCTCAAGAGAAGTGAGATAAATCATCAAATAAATATACAAAGATAATTAACAATTTGAACACACTATAAAAGAATATGTACCGGTCGTGGCGAGGAAAGGGTGAGAATATTCCATAAGGACACCGCGCGTCGAACTGCCAATCATCGGCTCCACGTCGACATACACCTCATCGGCGGATGACAAGACGCTCGATGGTTGGTCGTTCGGACGTGCTGACGTCCGAATGAAACATTTTGCCCTGCGATGGAGATGACAAGATTGTGAGAGAGGAGCAGACGAAGTTCTATATTTGAGGTATAAGATATTTTTCATGTTTTTTTTTTGTAAATATTAAAGTTCGAGCTTGAAATATGTAAATGTTTTGCGTGGGCATGTATGTAAATCTAACTAATAATATGGCAAGAATAAAAATCAAAATATATATAAAAACAAGATAAAAATATCTTAAAAGAGTTGAAGCATACACAGACAAACCTGGCTTTCTACCACCAATCAAATTAATACAAACTGCATTAAAATTCAACAATAGCTACATATATTTCCATTAACATACTGCAAATTCCAAAAAAAAAAAAAAAATTAAAAATAAATAAAAAAAAGCGCAATCTGGTAGTTCAATTGGCAAAATATGCTGGTTTATTAGAATATACTCGCACTAAACTTTGCTTAAGCTTAATTACAGAGCCTTAAGAGTCCTCGCCGCTGCACCTATGAAAGCCAACTCAATATCTGTACCGACTTCTCACCCTACAAATAAAAAAGATTCATTAAATTAATTACTTTAACCACTCAATTCTTAAGTATAAAAATATCTAACTCTAGGGGTGTAAGTGAGTCAAGCCGACTCGTGAGCCTCGACAAGTGGCTCGTGAACTGAGTTTGATGAGCTAACAAGCCAAGCTAGCACAGACTCGACTCATTAGCTCATGAGTCGGCTCGTTTAAAAAAATAATAATATAAAATACACTCAAAATATATTAAATTGGAAGAATTTATCTTTAAAGTATTAAAATTGTTTAAAGAATAATATTTCTATTTTATATTAAGTCATTTCTTATTATCTCTCTCTTAATTCTTCATTCTTTTATCATTTTTTTAATAACTATCTTAAATTAATATTATTTTCCCCTTTTATAATAAACAAGCCAACTGGAACTCGTAGACTTGAAAGCACGACCTCGAGCTCGAAGTCAATAAGATTAATCAAATTCAAGCTCAAGCCGAGGGCGGCTGGAGCTCGACTTGATTTGTTTACACCCCTATCTAACACCTAAACTTTAATTTTTATGCCACATAACCTATGCATGCATGAAAAGGTGTACTTCATTTCTTAAAAGTTAAAATAGTATAACTGTATAAAGTTTAGAAATTAGATATATAAAAAGTAAATACATAGGAATTGGATGGTATGTAAATGCCCTTTAAAATGATTAATTATCGCCTCACCTGGGCGAACGAGAAGGCGATCGCGATCGAGAGCTAGAGCGAGAATAATGCCTCCTTGGGCTCCTGCTTCGGCTCCGTCCATGGCTTCTGCTGCGACGATGCCTTCTGTAGCAAAACATTAGATTGGAGAGACTTCAAATAATTGAGCTGGTCAGGCCATGAAACTAAAGTGATGTTTTTTGCATGCGAGCAAAGATATATTAATACCTTGCTGGGGAACGACTTCGGCTTCGGCTTCGGCTTCTGCTATGACTACGGCGTCTGTGGCGGCTTAATCTGTTCGTTTCAGCAAGTTTTTCCAGTCTTTGTCGTTCCTGCTCGCGCTTCTTTGCCATTTCAGCGGCAGAATCCTTCTTGACTATTAAAATTCATTTGGGTATACTAATATAAAAATCAATTCCATAAAAAAGAAAGTGGCATGTACATACAAGCTACCTGATTCCTATGTATTTACAAACTAACACCTAACCTTTACTTTTTACATTTATACCAACAGGATCTTTCATATCACATAAAAATACCACTAATTTGACATTTAAAAAGCGAAATAAACATTTTCATGCATACATAAGGTGGCATATATGTAAAGTTTACGTGTTAGATATGTAAAATACATATGATTGAGTGGTATGTATGTAAATCTTCCAAAAAGAGAACAAGGATTATAGCACGATGATTAAGATCTCTTACTCTGTTTATTCAGTTGTTTGTTCATTATCCTTTTAAGCCGTTCTTGAGGTGTTTCCTTCTTTTCAATCTGCTCGGCCTTCAGGGATCCCCCTGGAGCAGCCTTGGTGAGTTTTGCAATTCCAGTGGTGCTAGATGCAAAAGAAAAAAAAGAAAAAAAAAATGCAATTGACATTAACAATAATCATAAAACTCATGGAAACATACAAACATAAATCAAATAAGCTAATGGGTCATTTGGGCTCACTTTCATTTTTTATTTTTCATTTACATATATACCACCCAATTCCTATGTACTTCCATATCTAACAGTTAAACTGATTTTTTACATTTAGACTACCCAAATCTTCCATATCACTTCAAAACTATCACCATTATGCATGTAAAAATTTAAGTTAGGCGTTAAGCATGTAAATACATAGGAATGAAGTGGTATGTCTGTAAATCTTCCGTTTTTTTAATTTTATTTTGCTTATTTTATTATTTGAAACAAAATAGATTTGGTAATTTAAAAAAATTAATTGTTTTAAAAACACTCAAAATGAAGAAAATATACTTTGAGAAATTTTTAATCAAAAAAAAAAAAATTAAAACACGGAAAAAACACTAAAAAACATGCTTTGAAAAATAAAAGAAAAAACAAAAATTAAAAAAAAAAAAAGAGTAAAATTGATTCCAAACAATTCCCAAGTAAATTTGTAACGAATTTAAGTCCATATTAAACCTGATTTCTTTCTCTATTTAACTCTGCTATTTAAAACAGAATGAATGGCTTATAAACGGGCTTGCAAAGAGTTCAAAAATCAGATACATTACAGAGCACAATTCTACCCAAAACTCAGTTTCCTGAGGGCCGTTTGAGATCTTTTTGATTTTTGATTTTTATTTTATTTTGATTATATCTTTACTTGAAATATATAAAATATGTTTAGTTGTTTTTAAAAGGATTCAAAATAAATTTTAGATGTTTTGAGTGTTTTTAAAAACAAACTAATTATTTTTAAAATAAAAAAAAACATACAAAAAATACAATAAATAAATATGTTTTAGAATAAAAGCAAAACAAAAAGAAATGTGACCCCAAACAAATCCAAATAAAAAAAAAGTCGGTTGAATACCTCACATTTCTGGAAATTTTCGGGTTTTTATCATTTTCTAGGGACAAAGCCGATGCGGGATCGACATGCAGTGCTTCGAGTATACGGTTGCCAGATGATCTGAAATAGTAAAAAACATCAAACACAAACATGTCAGTGATTATAACTTGCAAGCCAATATAGGCAACTCATGGAACTCATATTCCTCTAGTCAAAAGAAAAAGGGATAATTACATAAAAAGCACTCCAAACATTGCTATTTACAAAATTAGCATCTTGGTGATTTTCCTAAACTGCCAAACGGATGCATTTATGTGCCATGGTCAAGACAGTCAGAATTTGGTAAAAATAAAAAGGGGAAATAACACACATAGCACCGAATTCTTATGGATTTATCTATCTCACACCTGAACTTTCATTTTTACAAATATAGCATTTCACCTAGGGATGAAAAATGGATTTGACTATTAAAATTTGATAATGAGTGCTACTTTTTATATGATGTTTATAATTATAAAAGTTTACATATGAGATAGGTAAATATGAAAGTTTTGGATGCCATGCATGTAAAAGCCTCAAAAAAGAATATTGGTTGGTTATTTAATGCAAATCTTGATATTTGTGTGAAAACTTGAAAAATGGATAAAAGTTTTGTAAATAGCAATGTTTCTAGTGCTATGTATGTAATCGCCCTGAAGAAAATGGTGATCATCTGCATATTAAAGAATAAAAGAAGAAGCTATTCACAGCTTTTATGTTCACCAACCCCCAACTTGACACCCTGCCTCACCACCAAGGAACCTACACTTAACTGTACTCCCATTCCCAAAAAGAAACCCAAAATATGCCATACACGAGGGCCATAACCATCAATAATTTATGTTTGAACTCCGGACGTAGCTCTACGTGCGGACTTTAATAATATGTCGCCATGTGTGTACATCGCGAATGTTATTTCGGGGTTATTGAAGTGGAACCGCGGAGGTTATTTCGAGGTTATTGAAGAGAAACATATATATTCCACTTTAATAACCCCAAAATAAACTCCGCGGTTCCACTTCATTAACCCCGAAATAATACCGAGGAGGTTATTTCGGAATTAATGAAGTGGAACCGCAGAGGTTATTTCGGGGTTATTAAAATAGAATAAATATATTTCTATTTAATAATCCCGAAATAACGCGGTTCCACTTCATTAACTCCGAAATAACACCGAGGAGGTTATTTCGGAATTAATCAAGTGGAACCGCGGAGGTTATTTCGGGGTTATTAAAATGGAATAAATATATTTCTATTTAATAATCCCGAAATAACCTCCACAGTTCCACTTCAATAACCATTGTGCTACATCACGGAAGTTATTTTTGGTTATTGAAATGGAACCGCGAAGATTATTTCGGGGTTATTGAAGAGAAACATATATATTTCACTTTAATAACTCCGAAATAAACTCCGCGGTTCCACTTCATTAACACTGATAATAACTCCGAAATAAACTCCGCGGTTCCACTTCATTAACACTGAAATAACACCACGGAGGTTATTTCAGGATTATTTCGGAGTTATTGAAGAGAAACTTATATATTTCACTTCAATAACCAAGAAATAACCCCCCAAAATAACACCACAGATGTTATTTCAAGGTTATTGAAGATAAATCTATATATTTCACTTTAATAACCCCGAAATAACTTCGCAGAAGTTATTTTGGTGTTATTGCGGAGTCCGCGGTTCCACTTTAATATTTTTTTAGGTGGGTCTAATATGACACACATAGTGGTATATTACTAAGAGTCCGCACGTAGAGCTACGTCTAGATTCTGGATAGAAAATTTTTCCCCCAACTTGACACCGTCGCTTACCACCAAGAAACCTACACTTAATTGTACACTCCTAAAAAGAAACCCAAAACGTCGTAAACCATGCCCATGGCTATCATTAAAAACACAGGAAATTTAAATACGTTGCCCATACTTCTTGTGTATTTACCTATCCCAAACCCTAAAATTTCAAATTTACATACATAGCACTTTCGTGATTTAAACCTATATATGAAAATGTATATTTCACTTTTAAGAAGAGGTAATAGTGCTATTTTTTATGTGATGTCGAAGATTTGAGCGTTATGAGTGTAAATATGAAATTTTAGCTGAGGCATGAAAATACATAAGAATTGTGTGCTATGTAAGTGAATGCCCCTAAAAATAAACCTGGTGGTAGAACCATGGGGTGGTTTGAGGTGGCACTTGCACCAACCCCTATAACTAAGAAAATCTATTGCAACCATACACTTCCCCTCCTAAATTTACACTCTAGCATGCATAGCACTTAAACCTATGAATTAAGTGTTGTGTGTAAATATGAAATTTTAGTTGAGCGGTAAGTAAAAACATAAGAATTGTGTGCTATGTATGTAAATGCCCCTAAAAATAAACCTAGTGGTGGAACCATGCATGGGGTGGTTTGAGGTGGCTCTTGAACCAACCCCTATAATTGAGAAAATTTATTGCAATTATATTCCCCTCCTAAATTTTCGCCATCTTCTACTTGAAGTCCTAATTCTGTGACTTCAACGCCCAGTATAAGTCTCTAAGAAATCAGAACACCGCCAGAATAAGCTGTAGCAGAGTAAAGATGGCCCAATCTATCTTTGCAAGTATTAAAGGTTGAGTGCTCCGACCGGTTCAGTGAATCATCTTTTAATGGAGATGATGGTGGAGAAACTGCTCCAACTTTTCGATCATTCGTGTCAGGGGGGCCCCCAAACTCCGTAATGTACTCAATTTTTGGAGGCTTTGGTTTGCTTCTATGATGGCTGTCGTCTGAATGTACTCCTCTGTCATGTCTTCTTGAGTATGAAGGCGAACGAGAACGAGAACGAGATCTAGATCTGCTAAAACAGATAACAGAGATGAGGCCTTGTCTCCGAAAAGATAGCATCGTATAATCTGCAAGGATCGTTAATGATATAATCTTAGCATATACCTTCGAGAGTAAGGATATGCTTCATAGGTGGGACTTCGCCGAGACTCCCTGCAATAGATACTCATATCAAGGAAAGTTAATATTGAAGGAAAAGGAAATTTACATACATACCACAAAGTTTTTATGTATTTATATACCTAACACCCAAAGTTTGATATTTACACTTATAACACCTTGGCGTGATAATGAAAATGTGTACTTTACTTTTTAAAAAATAGTGATAGTGGTATTTTTTTTATGTAATGTTCAAGGTTTGAGTGGTATGCTTGCAAATATGAATGTTTACATGTTAGATATGTAAATACATAAGAATTGTGTGATCTGTATGACATGCCCCTAAAGAAAATTTACATACATATTTAACACCTAAAATTTAATATTTACATTTATAACCCCTTGGTGTTATAAAACTATGCATGAAATGCTGTATTTCACTTTTAAAAAATTATTAATAGAGGTATTCTTGAGGTGATGTCAAAGTTTGAATGCTACACATGTAAAAATGAAAGTTTAGATGTTAGATATGTAAATACATAAGAATTGCGTGACACGCATGTAAATGCCCAAAAATTTAAATAAATGTGTGTAAAAAATGAGCCATAAAATAATGGGGCACTTACATACATACAACCCAATTCCTATGTATCCACATGTCTAAAACCTAAACTTTACCTTCTACATTTATATCACTCAAATCTTTCATATCACATAAAAAAATACCACTATTTTAACTTTTAGAAATGAAATACACCTTTTCATGCACAGGTAAGGTGGAGTGTATGTAAGAAATTCAAGTATGGGTGTTAGATACGTAGTTACCTAAGAATTGAGTGTTATATATGTAAATCTTCCTAAACATCATAAGTTGGATATAGTACCTGTATGGATCATGATATGGTGCTCTTCCTAGAATGCGTGCGGCTTCTCTTTCCTTTTCCCTTTCCATCTGCGAAACTTTCCTTCTTTCCTTCCGGCTTAATTTCCTCTGTAAATATTAAAGTGTTCGGTACACGATGCACTAAAAGCATAATGAGGATGAGAAATTTACATACCTAACACACAATTCTTATGTATTTACATATCTCACACCCAAACGTTGATATTAACATACAAGGCACTTTGGTGCTTTAAACCTATGCATGAAAAAGCTGTATTCCACTTTCAAAAAGTGGCAATAGTAATACCTATTATGCGAATTAAAGACTTAGCGTTATGTGTAAATATGAAAGTTTAGGTGTGAATTAAGTAAATAAATTAGAGTTGTGCGCTATGTATGTAAAGGCACCTATAAGGATTTAAAAACCCAGAGCAACTTACAATAGATGGATCCCCTCTTATTACTTCTTTTTGTCTTTTCTCTTCTTCCTTTGTTTTTTTGTCCATATAAACAAGCCAATTATACCTCTTGATACCAAACTCTTTTGCAATAAGCTCCATTCCTTCATCATTGCTTTCATCACTACTAACATCCTTCTCATCATCATCATCTTCATCATCTTCGTCATCTTCATCGCTATCAATGCCATTGGGTTCCTCATAGCCTTCTGTTTTATTATAGGAGAATCCTACCTGCGAATAAGAACCTTTGCTTGCCGTAGGTTGCGATGAATGTGTCCTGTAAGAATGACACGATTAAGAAAAAGGAAAAAAAAAAAAGGAAACATTTATATTTACAACTTTGGTCAAAAAACCATTTCCAGTCATTAGAGTAAGTAAACTTTTGTGATTTATAGGTTCTGCGACACACATAACTTACCATATTGATTATTAGCTCATAAAATAAAATCATTCTATAAATATCAACTCATGATAAAACCAATTATTTGGATTTTAAATTTTTTTCATTAACATAACACCCTGCCAAAAAAGGTAAAAAAGAAACAATGTATCGAGTTTTATATAAACATTCGAAATTGCAAATTTGAACCTAGTTTTCCATACAGTACAAAAGTACAAAATTATGAGTACTATTGTATAATCACGTAACTTAAAGTAATATATGTACTGAATAATGGATGGGTATGATCACCGTTCTATAGTCGCATAAATTGAAGAAATACATGTACTGGCTCAAAATAAGCACTGAAACACAACCGAAATTTCGGAGACAAAGTTAAACTTCGAATTTCAAAAAATTTGGTACTACATAGAACCACTATATATCAATAGAAATTTCCTAAATGCTGAAGAAATAAATACTGGCTCATATGATGATGCAATAACATAGCTCATCCTAAGATACCACTCAAGGATATGATAAACACTAAATCTGATAGGGGAAATTTACATACATACCGAACAATTCTTATGATTTTACATGTCTAACATCTAAAGTTTGATATTTATACATTTATAATGCTTTGGTATCATAAATCCACATGAACAAGATGTACATTACTCTTAAAAAGTTAAAAATGGTGGTATTTTTAATATAATTTTAAAGTTTTGAGTGTTAAGCAAAATATGAAAGTTTAGGAGTTAGATATGTGAATGCCCCCATCTGATAAATAATAAGTGCCGCAACTATCTAGGAAGGCTGAAAAAGCCAGCATCAGCTCAGAGAAGTAGGAACAAGTACACTTTTACATACTAGCTACTGAAATGTAAGAAAAATAAAAAAATATGAAATAAAAAGTAATGTGGCCCGTAATAAATTTGATAGGTCATCAAAATTTATATTAAAAAACATAAAATTATTCTATTCCTTCCGTTTGTTCTGCATTTCATCCGCCCAATGAGTAAGAACGAGTGCTACAGATGCATATAGTTGCTAGACAAGCTGTATAAACAATTTCCCATCAATGAAAAATCAAGCAAGTCGGTTGCCCTTTGGTTTCAAGTACTGGCGGACAACCATTTAAACCGAATGTAAAGTTTGACCAGAACAGAGTAGACGACATTTAAGAATTTACCATAATATTAATAAAAAGAGTATTTGAATGCATACCACCCAATTCCTCTGAATTTACATATCTAAAACCTATACTTCACTTTTTACATTTATACCACCAAAATCTTTCATGTCACATAAAATATACCACCATACTAACTTTTAAGAGTAAAATACACCTTTTCATGCATAGGTCAGGACACACTATGCAAAAATTGAAATTTAGGTGTTTGATATGTAAATACATAAGAATTGAGAGGTATGTATGTAAATGCAATCTCACACCGAAACTTTCATATTTAGAAGGCAATTGGGAGGAGATGAAAACTTTGAGAATCAAAGATCCAACTTTCCTTCCTCATATTCTACATTACATCAATCCAAGTAGCTTAAAGAGAGCATAAATAACGCAATATCGTAGCATAAAACTACTATGACAGTTTCAACTCAATCAGAGTCTAATATCCCTTCACTTGCAGAGATAAAAAATCCATGTAAATCAGCTGCAAAACACATGATACAGACACCAAAGACATTAAAGAAAATTCATTCTGATAATGCCTTGCTAAAAGATCCTATAGCATTCCACCTCTAGCTTGAATTTAAAACATTTAAACAATATCATTGAAGTGGCCTCAAATACAAGCAAACTATCAATAAATTTTGGGAAATTTACATACTTAGGCACATAATTCTTATGTATTTACATATCTCACACCGAAACTTTCATATTTACATACATAGCACTTTGGTGCTTTAACTCTATACATGAAAAAGTGCATTTCACTTTTAAAAGGTGTTAATAATGTCATTTTTTTTATGTGAATTGAAGATTTGAGTACTATGTGCGTAAATATAAAAGTTCAGGTGTGAGATATGTAAATACATAAGAATTGTGTGCTATGTATGTAAATGCCCCTAATTTTTTTACCATTAGCTTTCATTATATGTGAATTAGTAGCATTTCCTGGCAAACACACTCGAAAACTAGCATTCAGCCATCACCAACATTCACATCTAACAAATTATATATGAAATGATATTTTTACATCAGTTATTTTCACTCATATAATTAACTGAAACAATGGTTGATTCATAGATGTTAGATATCAGGTTCTTACAAAAATGCTACACTATAATGGTATGATCATGCATTAGAAATTGACAGGGAAAAGGCTAAACAACATAGAATGATAAAAGGCAACTGATATTTATAGGTAGAAAATAGTAACAAAATATGAAGCTGATAGACAACAGAATGTGCTGCATGAAATACTGCCAGCAAGAAAATTAATCATCACAATCTTCTCGGAGCTTAGTTACGATCACAACAATCCAGCCAATAATTGGGAATCCAAGTTAACATGTATGTTCACCGAAAATGGTCACATTACTAGGTTTATATATCCCAATGTTTGAAATGGCCCAATTTGGTATATTGACAAGTTTTATGTCCATGATTCGGGGTATAAGCCTCGAGTCATTTTCATGTGTAATCCTCAAAATTAAATACATTAAATTAATAAAAATATATACAAAACCATACTAACATAAAAATAAAATATTGAAGTAAAAAAAATGTTAAGAATGATCATAATAATAAGCCTCTCAAATTCCCAAATCAACATTAATGAATAGTCAATGACGCTAAGATTAGAATTTATAAATTCAAAAGTCTACACCATTCTCATCACTTATAGCTCTTCAATATAATCATCATTATAATGAACTGGTTTCTCTCCTCTCGTCCTCAAATGTGCCATATTCTCCCAATCTTTCTCTTCATCTTCAATCTCAATCATCTTCCAGGTCCCAATCAATAAAAACTATTAAGAACATTATTTGAAATTAAAAATAAAAAACAATAATTTAGTAAAATTATTAATTAAGCAAACTTTTAGATTAATATCACACCAACAATCAGATATGACTGCGGCTAAAATCTAAGGTCAAGTTCTCTTGATCTTCTCAATAAATTTCTCAATACTACTCAATTCCTCCTTCATATCCAAGTCTGAGCTCATACATGAATGAAGGTTAAAGTCCTAATCATAGGAAGCCATGGAGTGAATCATGTTGACATAAGATGGGAAGTTGCCACATTAAGAGAAAGTCATTTACATACATACCCATAATTCTTATATATTTTATATCTAACTCTTAAACTTTCATATTTACATGCATAACACTAAAAATTTTAAAACCACATAAAAATTATCACATTTACTAGCTTTTAAAAGTTAATAGGTTTATGACACAAAAGTGTCATGAAAGTAAATATTAAACTTTTAAGTATTAGATGTGTAAATAAATAAGAATTGTGGGGTACATATGTAAATTTCAAAAAAAAATTACATTTACATAGAAGAATCTATTAATGTCCATACATTACTATTGTCTTTGTCATACTCCACATTTATCATATATTGGTCTATAGGCCCCCCTTGCAACTTTATTAGACATTTGTGGCAAAGAAGAAAATAAAATTTTGCCAATAGGCCCACTACAATAAGATCCAATGTCAACTTTATCATCAAATTATTAATGTCAAATGCATTAACTTGTTCGCTTTGTTCATATAAGCACAAATTTCCTCTTTTGCCACCTCGTCGGGCACTTTGGCACATGATAAAACATTCTTATGAAAAATAGAAAGATGTTTTTTTCAGTATAGTAACAACTTCAAAATTTTATGGTAGTTCCACTTCAAATAGATGCGTCTTTTTCACTCCCTCATAATTTGACTAATAAAGAATAGAAAAGAAAGTGAATATAAAGCATGAACCAACGCAGCAATGATTTGTTTAATTTCACTACAGTGCTTGGAATTAAGGAAAAAATGAACCTTTCTAAGGTGAAGGAAGGGGTAGACTTTGCCTCCAATTCTTCAACAACATGGTGGAGGGCCTCTTCATCAGTATCTGTTGAGAGGTATAATGTTGTATGCACATAAAGGCACAGCATACAAAGTTAGAATTAGAATGCCAATTCCAATCATACATAAAGGACCATACAGTGTAGAAAAATACAAATAATTCAAACAGAGATCGCACAAGAAAACAAATCTTGTATATACTACAATAGATAAACAAAAATAAAAAAAAAGTACCGACATCCTCTACGTCGGTGCTTAATTAAATCCCAGTAACGCTCAAAATTAACAAACTCTTCTAGTTCTTCTTCTTCTTCAGATTTTTCCTGTGCTCGAAAGGGTCGAGAGCTAGAATCACGTATGTAATCCAGAAGTGCACGGCCATCAAACCTTCCAAACAAGAAGCAATCTGTTAGTGGACAGGAACAACCAACTTTATGATAAGTATACAAGTCGAAGTAACCACCTGTCAATCAAAATGTCCTGCTTCCCATTCCAAGGAATCCTACAAATGGAAATGTAATAAGCAACATGCATAAAAGTGCCAATGCTGAATCAGGATAATATCACAGTTAGAACACACCAAATCATGTTTAAATTTCCCATATGATAAGTAGAACTGCACTATATAAGTTTAATTAATTCAAGAGAAGATGTTTTAAATTTACAAAAGATTAAAATTTGTCACCTAACTTCTATAGTTTCAATAAAATAAGTAAAAATATGATTGTCTTTAATAAGTATGATTTCTTGCTTAAGTTGAGCCTGATTTATTACTTTTTCAAATTTTATGTATCAATAGCAACTACCATCTTATACCACTCAATCTTCACCTAACCCATGAAATAGATACTAAGTTATATATCAGCATCTAAAATTATGATCCAATCTGTCTAAAATGTTCTATATAAGGAAGTTGAGTCAGTACAGAGATAATCCAACGCATAATCCATCATGGGCCAGAGGAGAGAAAACCAGTAAATTGGTTTTCAAAGGAGAGGCAATGTTCAAATCAAAGGCACAGCTGTATTAAACAGAAAAAAAAAGGAGCGTTTACATATTCCTCATATTTACATATCTAACACCAAAACTTTACTTTTTATGGAGCGTTTACATATTCCTCATATGTACATATCTAACACCAAAACTTTACTTTTTATGTTTACACCACCCAAATCTTTCATATCACGCCAAAAATACCACCATATTAACTTTTAACAAGTGAAATACAGATTTACATGCATAAATAAGAACACATGTGTGTCGCAATTCAAATCTAGGTGTTAGATATCTAAATACATAGGAATTAAGTGGTATGTATGTAAATTTTCCCAGAAAAAAAAAACGTCACAACCAGGTTGATGCAAGAGCAGCATAGAAAAATTGGGGGTATTAAAAATTAGTAGATATTGCCCTATTCGTTTCAACTTAAGCGTTGAAAAGTGATTGGATCACTTCCAAATTTAGTTCATATATTTGTTTGGCTTAAACTAGATTGAAATTAATTCCCACTCCTGAGAAGTAAGTCCATTGTTCAGAGCCCGGAAGTAACCTTCAATTTTGTCTTTTGTTTTTAATCACAGTAAAATAATATTAATTAATAGAACAATCGAATGAAACATTACTTAGAGTGGTGATAACAATAAAATAATAAAAATTAACGTGAGGATAAAATAAATCGCACCATAGCTCAAAAAACAATAATAATGAGTTCACAAATAAATTTCACTAAAATAAACAAGTAGATCTCATTTCAATCCGGCTCAGTTCTAGAACTAAATTCCAAACAAACAAACAAACAAACAAAGCCTTACAGTTAGAAAGCACAAAAAATGGATGCTAATAACCCTAGAATGTTAATGCCATCCAAATTTGGAGAGCAACTACAACAAGAACATCAACAAGCCTTTATCCCACTAAGTGGAAGACCTTTTTCTCTGTTGTGTCCTATTGAGTATGATATTTTCATTTAAATCTAATAATTGAATTCCCACTCTTGAGAAGTGAGTCCCATTGGTCAGTGCCAAGAAGTAACCATCAATTTTGGCTTTTGTTTTTAATCACTTAATTAATAAGATGATGGAATGAAACATTACTTTGGGTGGTGATAACACTAAAATAATAAAAATTAAAGTGAGGGTGGATAAAATAAATCGCACCATAGCTCAAACAAACAATAATAATGAGTCACTAATAAATTTCAACAAAATAAACAAGTAGAACACTATCTCACTTTAATCCGGCTCACCTCTAGAACTAAATTCCACACAAACAAACTAAGCCTTTAAGTTAGAAAGCACAAAAAATGGATGCTAATAACCTTAGACTGTTAATGCCATCCAAAATTGGAGAACAACTACAACAACAACAACAAGTGTTTATCCCACTAAGTGGGGTCAGCTACATGAATCCCTTTTCTTTGTTGAGTCCTATTGAATGTGATATTTTCATTTAATTATAATAAATTAAGATCATTTTTTTATACAACATGCTCGAGTCTTTTTACGTCTACCTATATCTTTCTTAACATAATTTCAACCTAAAACATCTACTCTCCTGACCGGATCATCAAATAGTCGTCGTTTAATGTGACCAAACCATCTAAGACGGCTCTCACTAATCTTGTTTGCCACTACTACACTAAATCTTTCACAAATACATTCATTTTGCATTTTTTCTCTAAGTGTCAAGTCACTCATCCACCTAAGCATTCTCATCTCAGCAACACTTAACTTAGTTTTATGCTTCTCTTTTATAGGTCAATTCAACATTATAGGTCAATATTCTGCACCATAAAGCATTGTCAATCTCACCACTATCTTATGAAAATTTCATTTAAGTCTAGGCGATACTTTTATATCACACAATAGGCCCAATGCATTCCTCCACTTCAACCGTCCCAATTGAAATAAAGACCCCATATATATATCACCATCACTTTGAACAATGGGCCAGAGATATCTAAAACATTCACACTTCTTAATGATTTGGTCAACCATTGTTACAGTCCTATCAAAAGATCTACTACTACTAAAATTATATTCCATATAGTCAGTTTTAAATCTACTGAAAGGAAGGCCTTTAGAATCTAATGTCGATCTCCATAACTTAAGTTTTCTGGAACTAATTATCTAGTCTTATCCACAAGAAGGATATCATCAACGAAAGCATAAACAAAGGTACATCCGCCTATAAAGTTCTAGTAAGAGCATCTACAACTAAAGCAAAAAAAATATTGGCTTAAAGTCGATACCTGATGTAAAAATTGGAGAAGTAAAAAAAAAAAAACTTCATATGAATAAAAGATAAAAAAATAAAAATTTTGTGCCGCTTTGACTCGCTTCGCTAAGACCAATAAAAAATAGCCAAAAATCTAAAATCTTGGTCTTGTTTACTTAAAAAACTCACCATACACATTTGGATTTGAAATATAATATTGTAAAACAATAAAAGTGTCCATTAAATTTATCAAATTTGACAATTACAATTACCCATTTAATCCACTATTCTTTCATAATCAAAATTCACTTGGTACAAGAGGAAATCATCATTATCAGCAACAATTTCCCCATTATTTGGAGTTGGATTTACAAATTTTCATTTTGATTCACTCTTATTGAGGGCACTTAAGGCATCAAAATTATTCTAGACAAATATTTTTAACAACCATATAACCTTGATCTTACCCTCTTAATCTTCAATATTGAATTTATCTATCCATCTAATGGATACATTTTCTACCCTTTATTATAAGCGCTCAAACCATCTAAGGGCTCATTTGTTTTCTTGAAGCTAGAAAGCATGATTAAAAAAAATGAATAGTCAAGATTATATAATCTCGTTCAATGTAAATGGAAATCAATTCAATTTCGCATGCACCATAAAAATCTACGTGAAATGTTCATTGTTGGCATTCAGAATGAGTGTAAACAAAACCATAACTTTCTAGAGCATGTTTCCATCTACAAGTGATCAAATGAATCTCGAGTTTACTTTCAAATATCTAATATTTGATAGAAGGGCTTGCAACGATCTATCCAATATAATCAATCACTGACTTCTTATTCCTTGTTTTTCACGCATACATATTAATCTTCTCATTTATGTGATGCTCATTTTAGCTATCAAATGACTTATTTCTACATAAGACTCAGGTCCAAAAAACATTGTCTTTATAATTATATTGTTTTATTAAATTTATAGAAGTCTCCATGAAATTATCGTATTGCAAAATACTATTGAAACACTTTGTCGATGTAACTGTTGAAGCTTAACATTAGAAACAATATTCTCGTCTATATCCTCGTTTTTCTAATAGATCCAAGTAAATAAAACATATCAAACCTAATTTTTAATTTAACTTCTAATATCATTGATTGATAATAGTCACTATCATGTCAGATAAAATTATGTACCATATATTGGACCTTTAAATGCTAATTCTAACCCCCTAATTGTTTAAATATTTTTTTATTTGTTATAACTTGCTAATTTTAATATATTTCCAACCAACCAAAACTGTCACATGCAATTAATATACAGAAAGACATCTAACTTACAATATCTTCTATAAGGATCTCCTTAAAAAAAATAAAAAAACAAAAAAAAATCATACACAAATACAAATATAACGTTCATCATTAATATAAGTTTATTGTAATTAATACTCTTTGATCACTCCACATTACTTTAACAATATTCAATACATTTTTTTGTTCATATTGTCAACTACTTCAACATGTCTCTTAACACAAATTTGTTTTTTGATGCACATCAAGCTCTCAATTCAATTATGTCATCTCAATATCAATAAAAATTATGTTAAGATCGTCTATTTATTATGAATACAAGAATTAGTGTGGTGACCTTATTTTTCTTTCAACATAGCAAAGGTTGAAACTAAGAAACCAAGAATGAGATAGAAAATCATACAATTCCATTACACTTTTGTTGCTTCAAACTTTGACTCAAAAATTTGATTCCTACGCACTAGCACAATTTTAAACATCTCCTTTGTTCTTCATATTGACACCAAAATACTTCTTCCAATCAGCTAGTACCCTCTTAATGTTTAAGTTTTCATTTAAATGACTTTTTTAGCCAAACCACTATATTATACCCCATAAATGTTCAAACCTCAACAAGTATCAAATGCGAACCAAAAACTTTACCAATATGCACCTTTTTCAAGGTTAACCCCACTTCATTATTGGATTAAGCAATAATAAACCTTCCTATTTTATTCAATATTTTCTTCAAAAATAATCACTTCTTTTAAATGCACTTAATATTTCTCATAATAGAATTTTATATCTTTTAACACTTTGTCGGTGTAACTGCCAAAATACACTTAATATTTTCACTTTTAGTACAACAAATTTTATCAGAGCCTTTATGCCTCTTGTCTCTTGACTTAATTAATAAATCTCATTCTTTCATTCCCCAATATCTACATCAATCATCAAAAGCTTTACACTCGAGCTGCCCTTTACAAGACTTCAAGCTTCCTTAAAATTGATCGTAGTGCAAAATTTTAAAACTAATGAAGTAGCTAATAAGTATGACAATTAGCCTAGTTTAATTTTTTATTACAACAAGTGTCTAATGAATTATTATTAATAATAAACAATTTGTAGTAGTAAAGTTTAAAGAGTAATTGCAGTTTAAGTTATATTTTTCGTGTTCACTTGAATGGTTCACCAATTAATCAGGACGAAACTAAAAAAACTGAATATAGTTACAAATTAAAGATTTATGAATACCTAAAAAGTATTGTTTAGGTGCTAGATACATCTCTGAGGCTGGTAAGTAGTTCTAATGATGGAAATTCATAAGCTCAAAATAAATTTAGTGAAAATGCAATTGAAGACAAAAGATAAATGCTCCTTGGCAGATTTGTGCCCACAAGTGAAACCTCCAAAGGTCAAGAGAATAAGCAATTTGTGATGCCCATCATGGCCAAAGAAAGCCTAATATGCCTATTTTCTGCCCAAGTTCCCTAAAAAAAAGGAGGAATGGCAAGTATGCTCACTGCCAAAGTTCCACAACTGGAAAGAGGGGTCAAAGTTGCTTGCTCTCCTTCCAAGCTGCGAAGTGTCTTGTCTGTGATATAGCGCAAGTTCATTATCAAACTCTATTAGCAAATAGTACAGTCAGCCCTGTCATTTATCGATGAGATTGACTTGGTTAACACGCTTAGGCAAAGGTAAAATGTGAACCCTCAGCATATATAATGATGTCCCAAGTACCAAGCACTCCTACAAAGCTCTAGTGATCCATTAAAGAGGCCAAAATGCCAAAATCAATTATGTTCAAAAACAAGTAGAATCAATAATAAGTTTAACGACTTAACATGACAAATTTTCAAAAAGGGACTTCACTAAGATGCGGTGAAGATGAAAATCATCTCCCTTATGCTGCAATGCCTGCAAGCACTGGTTAAAGGTTAAAGGCATAACCTTCCAATCAATTATTAGAAGTAATGGATTCTTGAGTTTTCTGCTATTAGCAGTATGCTTCTTAATAAAAATTTAGACAATCTATGAGTTTACCTACTTAAAGCCCGGACATTAGTAGTTTGTTGGTGCACAAACCACTACTAATAAGCTGGAATAAAACAAAAGGTGCTAAGGAATGTAGAACCTTACAAGAGGAAGGAGAAGACTCAAACAAGGCCAAACCATGGTATCTTTTGCTAGTTAGTAATCTCATTGGTACATTAAAATCAATGTTTGCCTTAGGATCCATGCATGCCTCAATACGTACTGATCTTAATGGATTTTTTTATAAGAACCAATCAATTTCCCTCTCGGTTTGTAACCATAATTTTAAGTTCAAAATGCATATCCTTTTCACTCTTTTAAGAGAATTTATTTGAAGACTAAGATGCTTCTTGAAGCTAGAACATGCCATGCAGTGAGTCTCATATTGCCTTTTCACTTTTAGATGTATTGACCTCTTGCTTCAACTACAATTGCACAAGAACCTTTCATGATACTTTCCACCAAGCTAGATAGACCAATTAGGAATGCAACAATAACAAACACGATTTTAAATCCATTCGACAATAAGAAACATAGATCCTCCCAGATAGCTCACAATAATGTTTATAACTACTTAAAAGCTGTCACATACAATAATATGAAAAAAAATCATAAAAAGGAATAAAAATAACAACAAGGAATAGTAACCAGATAAAAATAGTTAAATAAAGCACGATAAAACCATTTGTTTATGTTAATAGTAGATATTATAGATCAACATAACGCCAACTGCAACCCAACTGTTTTACATTCAATTCAACAAATGTACATTATCATCAAATCATCCATAACTCTTCTCTGATGCCATTTAAAGTTGGGATTCTCCCTCTACATCTGTCTTCGAAATGCCCGGCGTGCACAAATTAAGAACAATGTAAGTATTCGAATATAACAACAATGATCCCTCGATCCCATCACTACAAGATAACTCAATTATAAGCGTTGTCAAAACCATTAGGAAGACAGAAACATCACTATTATAAGCGTTGTCAAAACCATTAGGAAGACAGAACGAAACGTCAAACAATGTAAGCCACAGAAATCATTAACTAAGAAAGAGGCGAGAATATACAGGCCCTGCTGGTCCTGAGTGGCCTGATAGAGTCCTTCGTCGCGGTGGACGCGGCACCGTGATCCGATGACCTGAAGCAGCTGCTGAGGGTCGCCGCGCCTCTTGGCGAGAAAAACTGCTCGCCGCTGCGCTCGCCGACGGGCGGCGTCCATCAGATCGTTGACCTTTCTCTCCGACCTCCTGGCCTCGTGCCACATCTCTGTTCTTCCACGTCTTCCCAAACCTCTAGCTAAAAATCACTAATGTACATGGAGAAACCCTAACCCTAAAATTTTCGTCGAGGATTCACTATGGAATTCGCGATCCTTATCGCTCGCTGGAAAGGCCGATGGAACTATTTAACAGTCGTCGGGAGCTGTTTAAGGCGTCGAATAGATTGAGCGCGTGTGGGAATCGGTTCGTGACTCTGTTATGTTAGAATACGAGTCAGTTGGATTTGAAACTGAAATGTGGTCCTCAAATTTGAGTTATTTGAATCGGTTCCAGCTCGAAATCTACTTGAAATCAAAATAAGCTAGCTTGAAATGAGTTATTTGGACTCGTTCCAGTTAAAAATCTTCTGATATCTTATTATATTCGATTTTATATAGTATTATATGTAATTTTTATAAATATAAAATACTTCGAGCTGATCTAGAGTCAATTCGAGCCAATTTGTGCATGGCTCGAAATCGACTCGAAAATATTTTGATCCAAAGTTTTGGCTCATATCCCAACTCGTTTATTTAAATATGATCTCAATTCAAGATAAAATTTGAATCAATTTTCTTGCGATTAACAAGCTTCTTGCTAAATTCATAACGCTCGCAGTCTGCATTTAGGGCTCATCTGCTAGGCCTGTAAGGTTATTTCTTTAAAGAAAATTATTTTGTAAGTTATATATGTAAATCACCACAAATTTAATGTCTGAGCTGATATTTTGTTCTTGAATAAAATTAAACTAGTTATACATGAATATTAATTATTATGTTGAATCCTAAATTAATCTTTGTGAACGAGTCTCGAGAGTTAGAATCGGGCGAAGGAGGAAAGAGAAAGAGGGAGAGTATAATAAGTCCATAATTCACTGTCGAGTGGACCGAGGGAGAGGTCATTATATTTGTCATTTTCCCTTTTATTTATTGATTTTACAATTACATAAATGATGGAACAGTTATGAAAAAGTGTTTTAATACAATTGATAATCTAATAAATCATATAGATATTATACCATATATGTATTGCAACTTGAATTTTAATATGACGGCAATTGGCTGGTTCGCTTACTTGAAGTCAATCGGCTGAGGCAACCGGTTGAGCGGTGACCACATCTTCCGAAGTAAATGTCGGTCAGGTGAGGCGTCCAGTCAAATGGAAATCTCGCTCACCGTAGTAATAGCGGGTCGGCCATGATCAAAAGCTCATGCATGCATCTTGGTCGGTTGAGATTGAAGGCGAGGTCCATCGACTGACCCTAATTAGGTTTTGGAGAGTTGTCACCTACACCTTTCCCCCATAATCTCTTACAGTTATCTTAGTTTGTTATAAATATGTTGTTATTTGGTTTTGGTTTTCATTTTTTATTAAGATTTTTGTCGGATAACAGTTGGTGTCCATTTTTTTGCTTCAAGGGTTGTATTGATGGTGAGAAGATGCTATGACAGTAACTTGTCTCAAGGTAGTGTGTATCTTTCCCTTTCTACTTGTTGTCATCTTCCATTCTCTTTGGTCGACCACCAATACGACTTTCACCGCTAGTTCTCACTGTCTGCACCCCCAACCCTCGCCCACTACTGTCATAACCTCCTCCCTCGCAGTCTACCACTACCGCTAGCCCTTAAACTTTTTTCTACTATTGTTAAGAACCTCTTCATCACCCATTGTGCCGATGCAACCCTCTTTCAATTTTTTTTCCACAAATTTAATAATAATATTGTTTCGAGCCCTCTAGCAATAGCGCCCAACCTTCCCCTCAAACTGTAGCTCCCTTTTGCACTAGATTTCCCTTCACAAAAGCACCACTTACCCTGCAACCTATACAACCCCTCACATCCCCCACCTACGACAAACACTCGACGGCTAACCCTCCTGTTGTTGTCACCTATCCACATTAGTCTTTCGGTTGTTGCCGCAAATCCCAACCTGCCATCCCTCCTGCTATCTAGCTGAGGTCGACCACATCCGTCCTTACCCTAGGGCATTGTTTGTGGTTTTGTCATATTTTTTTTGTTTTGAAAAGTTTTTGTAGTAATGTTTTGAATATCAGTGATAGTATTTGCATTCATTTTATGGTTTGGCTTAACTTCGGTATCATAGGGGTCGCTCAATGCCGCACCACCCCTCCCCCTTACACTCCCTTCTAAAAAGATAAAAGTTAATATGTCACCACAGTGTTAGGTATTGGTGTCTATATGTCGTTGACATGGTAAATACCATGTCAATCAACCATCAAACATTCTTGCCACACTTTGACAGGTATGAACTTGTCCTTTTTCTTTACTGATGCTAGGTGTCTGTCAGCGGCGTTGAAACATGACCAATGTGGCAGATGCCATGTGTATGTTTCACAAACTATTAATATATGTCAGCAGACACAATCTGGCACTGTGGCGCTAATGTTAGAACACTATGCCATTGCTAATGAGGCGGCTATCACATAAACCACCATCATAACACATATCCCATCAAATACCACCCTATGGACATAAAAGTTAACTTCGGCCTTTCATATGTAATGATGTGGTGCCAAAATATGGCATCACGGCTCTGTTGATGTGGAAGAAAGCTATATCAGTCAATAATAATCAAATGATAGTGTCGTGATGCCACCCAAATTAAATCTTGAAAGGGTCAAACCCTATGATTCCCTTATGTTGTGGTGCTGGATAATAATGTTGCGACTTGCGACGATGGGTCGGTGGCACCCAGGTGTTGCGTACTGGCACTATGGCACCAAGAAAAAAATTGTGATTCTGTTTGATCTAGATCCTAATTTTATGCAACCATGTTCATAAAAATTAATAAAAGTGTTATGATAACACAATTGGATATGACTTAAATTACATAAACGTGAATTCATTAAAATAGAACTTCTAATGTTTGTTGCGATCATAATTATAATGAGCTCTTTAAGGTCACAAAAAAAAACATTAAAAAAGAAAAATAATGATGTTATAAAAGTCATCGTCGTCGTCTCCTCAGGCGCCACTAGGTTCAATTTCCAAAAAATAACATGTGCGCTATTTACAGAGGAATTGGTGTTGCGGCGCTGCCTCATTAGGCTAAAGTGGGGCCCAAAGTCCATTAAAAACATAAATTTTCAAAAGTTATGATGGACTCTTACGATGTAAAGGATCGACATCGCGGAGTTGGGTCAGGAATTTGTCAACTCAGTTGAAAATCTATGTATTAGTGCCTGATGGTGTAAGTTATGATGGACTCTTACGGTGTAAAGGATCGACATCGCGGTGTTGGGTCAGGAATTTGTCACCTCAGTTGAAAATCTATGTATTAGTGCCTGATGGTGGGCCCAATCATCCATTAAATTAGCCTATCATCACAGAGCTAGGCATCGATGTTGTGATGTGGGTTGGTTTCTTGCATCATGTGCCTTGGTGAAAGAGAATCGCTCATGTGTGTACAATAAATGGTTGGGCGTCACGATGAGCTGAAGTGTGTAGTGGCACTGGCTTATATATCTAAGGAGGAAAAGGAATGACTCTATTTGAAAGGGCTTTAAATCTGTTTGCGACAAGTAACTTGTGTATTTTGGTTCTCCTTATTTGGTAAATGTCACTAGTGAGTGGGGATACTGCTATTATTTTTATGCGTGTCATCACAAATTTGAGCGAGAATGGAATGCTAGTTTCTATCATCTTAACAAGAGATATATTAGTTTATTGGATGTATTGAGCTAGAGAAGAAGTAGAATCCATGAAATTTTGAGGAGAAGATTTGAGCTAGAGAAGAAGAAGTAGAATCCATGAAATTTTGAGGAGAAGAGAGATGTTGTTAAGATAGATGCTCTGACACCATAAACTAATTGAAGAGGAGGAAAAAAAATGATTAAGAAAAGTATCTAATATTTGTATTTATTAAATAATATATACCTTTTGAAACACATCTTATATAAAGATTAGCTAGGTTAATTTGATAATTATAGTGATGCATATGGGTGTGTTGGATGTGGTTTATAGTTACAATACTATGATGATAATCAAGGGGTTTCTAGATACATGTGCTTGAGATTTGTTCGGCTCATATATTTCGATATGAGGCCACAAAAGATTTGTGTTGATGGAAACTTTGCTGTAAATAACATCAATATTTGATTTGCTTAAATTAATAAATCAAAATATTTTATATAATCACGTAAACATTTTTTGAACCAATTCATTGAATTAATGGGGTTGTAAATGAGTCTCGACATTCATTCATCCATTTAAATCAAAACAAATTTTTTTGATGAAAGCAAATTGAAAATAAGGTAAAAATCTAAAATCATGAACTAAAATATATCATCAATGTCGTACGCAAGTGTAATATCAAGCACACATCAACAAACTAAACAAAAAGAAAAGGAGATGATATGGTAAGCAAGAATGAAGTTACGTTGATCCTATCTCCTAACAACGAAAGTAAACAATAATTGAATTATAATAAAAATGAATTTGACAATAGGTTATGACAAAAATTACACGTGCCGAAGGATCAGATTCTCATTATATTAGAGTAAACATTTTCAATCAATAAATTATTGGACCTAATGGGAGAGATAATGCAATCAAATATATCATTTTCCAGTAACATTTATCACAAGCATTGAGCCTCTATAATCTATAAATATTGGCGAATGAGCTTGATGGGAGGAAGGAATTGCAAAGTTGCTCACCCCATGGAGAGAAGTCTAAGGAGAGAGGCAATAGAGCATAATCGAAAGAACAATCATAGAGTTTAATAGCCTTATATTAGGCTAAAGTTTGTCTCTATTACTCAATAGACATGTTAGAATCATTATGAGCCCAAATCATGAGAAAATTATTTAGTTGATTTTGGTGAGCCCCATTAGCCAACAAAAACTAACATGCAGAGACATGGCCAAGTCTCATAGACTCAAGGAAGAGTCCAAGATCAAGTAAAAACTTACTAAAAAGTCTTATAAGGTATTAGATTTAATTTTTTTATTATTAGGTATAATCATATATATGAATATAATGGGACTTAGTTTGGATTTGGATGTGTTAGTTTCAAAATGAACAAATTGTTGGACAACTAACCACATCAAACAAATTAGAGTCCAATTTCAATTTATTTAAAATCAAAGAAATATTTGACTTTATCAAGTATCGCCAATCACAAAAACTTATAGTGGTCATATAAATACATAATGTTCACTAAAAAGGAGTCTAGTTTATAAATAAAGATCATAAATTTTATTAATTTTATTTTCCTATTAAAATAAGATCAATAAGACTAAATTGTAATGAGTGTGCTCATGATAATTCATTAGGTGACATTAGATTTTGGTTTGGAGGTTAAGAGCCATCATATAGGGCATCACAAATAATATATGTGTATATATATATATATATATATGCATATACGTATGTGTATGCATATATATGTTTGTATATTATATAGCGTTGACCTTGCTGACTACCTGGTTAGCCACGGTAAATCAGGTATAAAAGGCAGCGGTGGTTCGGCAAAAGGTCCATTTACTTTTCCGATCTCTTAGAAGAAACCGAAAACAGACAAGAGATGAGGATTCTTCCCACCAACTTTCACCGGCGATGGTCGGGGCTTCTCCCGCTCTTCATAGTTATCCTTTTCGTCTGCGAGATGGCTTTCCTCTGTCGCCTCGACATGGTAAAGAATGCTGCGATGGTTCAAAACTGGGCCAACTCCTTCAACTTCTCCCCTACGTCTTCCTCAACCTCATATCGTTCGACACGGCACGTTCTGCAGCAGGAGGAGGAAGACGGCTGGTGCCGGGACTGGTTAGAGAAGGAGGATAACGTTTCGTATACTCGGGATTTCGAGAAGGATCCGGTCTTGGTTGATGGCGTTGATCAGGTCAGTTTTCTGTGCTTTTGTTCTTATTCCGTCTCCGTTTGAGCATTCTTCTTTAATCGGAACAAGTCTTTTTTGGAATGTTTTAACTTTTATCCTTGTTATTATGTCTTTGTATTTGGTTGATGGTGTTGATCAGGTCAGTTTTCTGTACTTTTGTTCTTATTCCGTCTCCGTTTGAGCATTTTTCTTTAATCGGAACAAGTCTTTTTTGGACTGTTTTAACTTTTATCCTTGTTATTATGTCTTTGTATTTTTGGTCGGCAGAAATAGCCGTTTGCCCTTGTTATTATGATTATTATTATTTTTAATGTCTTTGTATTTTTGGTTCTCTTGTACAGCTGGTTATTAGGTTTCGTGGTACCCTTCATTAGATTTTGAATTTGGGCCATATTCGAATGCATATTGGTACTGAAGAAATCTATTGGTTTTGGAAGTTTGCGAGTTTAATTTCGATTCCTAGCTCTCCAATTTTTTTTGCAATAATTGGGATGTACGGATTGTAGATTCTTCAGGGAAAACGTATAATCGTTACTTAGGAGATCTTTGAAAGCATATGTAGTTTATTGTAAATATATGGGTGAAATGGCTAATGATCATATGCTGATCAAACCAGGCACACTGCAGGCAGTGCCAAGCTATGTGGAACAATGTCAGTTAAACACATCCTGACATTCACTCATAGTCAGAGCTAAAAGCACATCTATAGCTCTCTATTATCTAATTATCACAGAATATTGCTGAAAGACAAGCATATTCATCCATGACACAGTCTTGATCATCTCAGAAACACATGTACAAATCGAACTTTACATTGGGGTTTAAATATAAAAATTTTATTAGATTCGGACATCAACAACACTCTTACAATAATATTTGTCTCTCTCAACACCCCACCAATCCCCACCCTGATAGGCGCCCCTCGGTTTGAAAACAAAAGAAACTAAAATATGTAAAATATGAGTTGTCTGTTCAACCTAAAAGAAGGCAAATCTATAAGCAATGCTATTAAATAGTATGAAGCACTTGTAAACGACTGTAATAAGGCTTGTCTGCCACTATAAGTTCAATGCAACAACAACAACAAAACCTTTATCCCATTAAGTGGGGTCGGCTACATGAATCCCTTTTCTCCACTGCTTCTTATTTAGTGCTATATTTTCATTTAATTATAATAAATTAAGATTGTTTTTTATACAATATGCTCAAGTATTCGCAGGTCTACCTCTGCTTTTCTTACATAAGTCGAATCTAAAACATCTACTCTTCTAATCAGATCATCAGGTGGTTGACATTTAATGTGACTCTCTCTAATTTTATCCGTCATTGGAGCTACACCAATCCCATCACGGATATATTCATTTAGCATTTTGTCTCTAAGTGTAAAGCCATTCATGCACCTAATCATTCTCATCTCGGCAAAACTTAACTTAGTTTTGCGCTTCTTTTTTAAAGGCCAACTCTCAACGCCATAGAGCATTGTAGGTCTCACCACCATGTTATAATATTTTCCTTTTAGTCTAAGCGTTACTTTTCTATCACACAATAAGCTTGAAACATTCCTCCACTTCAACCAACCAACATTCTACTATTAACATCCCCATCTATATCACCATCACTTTGAACGATAGTAACAATATAACAATAGACCCGAGATATCTAAAACGTTAACACCTTTTAATAATTTGATCACCCATAGTTAAATTTTTATCACTAGAACTACTACTATTAAAATTACATTTCATGTATTCAGCTTTAGTTCTTAAGAACTCTCCAAAGGATATCTCTTGTAACCTTATTGCAAACTTTTTCTAAATCAATAAATATCATATGTAGATCCTCCTTATTATCTCTGAACTTCTCCATCAAACCTCTCAATAAATGTATAGCTTCCTTCTTGCCCGACATAAATCCAAATTGATTATGAGAAATCTTTGTAATACGTCTTAACTTATGTTTAATTACCCTTCCCCATAATTTTAAAGTACGACACATCAACTTAATTCCTCTATAATTTGCACACTCTTGTGCATCCTCTTTATTTTTAAAAATGGGGAACAAAATACTCTTCCTCCACTCCTTGGGCATCTTTTTAGTTTTTAAAATAATGTTAAAGAGTGTAGCAAGCCAAGAAACTCCCAAAACTCCTATATATTTTCACACTTCAATTTTGATATAATCAGGTCATATAGACTTTCCACCATTGGTTTTTTTTAAAACAAGATCAACTTTCTTTTGACTAATGCGACGTTAAAAATGAAACATTTTATTATTATTAATGATATTAAGATTACTAAGATCGATCATATTTTCATAAACATCATTAAAAAGTTTATTAAAATAACACACACGCCTATGTTGAATATCTTTTCTAAAAAAAATACTTTTTGATTTTTATTTTTAATATACTTTACTTGAATTAAATCTTTATTTTTCTTTTCTCTTTGTTTGACTAGTTTATAATTTCAATAAAACAAATTTTTTGGGGGATCAGATCTGCAGGATAAAGGGTATAGTATTCAGAAACTCTCACGACACACAAGCGGATTATCATATTAACATTCATATTTACAATTTTTATAATAGGTTTTCTAGGATTCCATTGATTTGTTTGGTGTTTTAGCTCTAACTTGCACAATTGTAGAACCAAGGAGAGGTAGAGGGGAGTCCCCTGTTTCTGGCCATTTGAAATCTTTAACGATAAGTTTCAATGGTTCACGAGATTCACCATAATTAGTAGGCTGCTAATTACGAAGCCATAGCGTGATGTGAAGATAGAAATATAAAAGAGGGTGTCAGACAGGGTTACATGTCAAAACACAATGCTTCTTTATAGCAAATGGTGATCTTAAAAAATCCTCTTTCATTGGTTTTGAGGGCTTAATTGTCTTGCTTACCATTACACCACTGTGTTCTCACTTTAAGTTAAGGTTCACATTTGCCTGTCTCCTCGCTCGTGATGCTATCTCAGAATTGCCACTCCCTTTCTTCTCTCATTGTATTGAGGATTGTACACTCTAAGGGTAGAGTCACTTAAATGGTAAGCAATGAGATGAATTCATTAGCTAGGTGTCAAATAGACCGTCAGTTGAGCTCGAGACAAACTTACCATAGTAGGTTTAGGATGGACTCAATCTTGTATGAGGTATCTACCTACGTGATTGGGTAGACTCATGCTGACTAAGGAGAACAATTTCCATCAAACTCAAGGAACAACTCATCTAAATTCATCACCAGACTAGGAGACCCAATGATGATTTTAGATGGCCTATTGCTAATTCGAGTCTACGTTTGTACTCTGGGCTCTTGCCTCCATTAATCCTGTAGTTATCACAGTTACATCTCATCCTTTAACAGTCAAGATCGTATATTGGTGCCTATAATTAGGGGATTTCAGGGAGAGCCAAGGGTTTCACTCTCTAGATTTTGATTCTAGTTTTTTGCTCTTATGCTTTTATTATCGAGCTAACTTAATATGTTTTTCTTGTCTACTTATACCACTTCTTCGACCTTTCTCACTTTCGTTGGGTTTGTGAGATTCTAGCATATCTCACCGCTAGATTGAGATCCAACAAGGAGGAAAGGTTTTTGCTTGGCTTTATTTATAGTCAAGCTATTATAGTTTGGTTGATCCTATTCTCAATATTTTTTTCTTTTTCTTCTATTCACATGAAATATTTTTGAATTAAAAAAAAAAGTCAATATTATAAATAATGAAACCGTTGGGATAAATCATCCTATATTAAAAAAAATTATTTGTGATGCCTTTTGAAGTTCCAAAATCACAATCACTGTTTGAATCGTTTTCTTATTAAGTTAAAATTTCCAAAATTATGGAAAGCCCTACAAATAGTGTTTTTTCCCCTTATTTTTAATGATATTAAGTTAGTGCAAAATTGTGCCTGTGCAATGGTAAATATTAATTATTTTTGGTTTGCATATAAAATCTCAACACTATAACATAAGCCTTATAAAAAATAAAATTATAGTCTCTTTTAACACAAGTAATGGTAGTGCATTAGTTGTTTTAAACAAAGAAATCGAACCGAACCAAATATATTTGGTTGTGATTTAGTATATAAAATTATAATTTGAATTTTGGTTTTAGATTAAAGATTGGTTTGGTTACTGTTATTGGTTTGGTATGAAAAAAGTTCGATTAAACCATAAAATTGAATTTCATATGGTTAAACCAAATATCTAAACCAATCCATCCAAATTCATTGAATGCACATATATTTATTAGGATTTTAAAAATTGATTGAACTAAATTTGAGTTGTGTAAATTGAATTATATCGGTTTGAGTTAGTTTAGTTATAAGTATTAATTGGTCGATTCGGTTTTGTTTATTATTTAATTTGATTTAAATGATTTAAGACGTGTAAACCAATTCAACAGAAATGACCGAATGCACCCTTATAAATTCCGGGATTGTCATGAGTCGATCATATCTGTCGAGCAAGGCATAATTTTTCACAAAAAAAAAATTCTATTTGGTTTGTTTTCTTGCGACAAAATTGCATTTATTCCTACAGCTAAATCATCTATTTCTACCAAATAATGTTTATAAAAAAATTAGGATACATAAAATTGGGATTATCCAAAATTTTATTTTAATTTTGCATTAGCCATTTTTTGTTCTAGGAGAAGGTTTTTTGTTTTAAATAGTCGATGAGAGGTGCCGTTATGTTACTGAAATTAGAAAATAAGTGACGATAAAAATTGATATCAAAATTGACCAACCTGAAATAACATTATCTGACTGTTCAGTGACGATAAAAATTGATATCAGAATTGACCAACCTGAAATAACATTATCTGACTGTTCAACTTGTCCAACATATCTCCATCCATGTCATTGAAAACTTGTATTGATATTGAATTAACCAACCATAATAACAAAAGCATATATTATTAAGCAAACAACTTGGGTTACAATTGAGAGTCTAAATATAATTGAAAAAAACACAACAAACATCAATATCCGACTAGGGTCAAGGAA